GAATAATGGGAAAACTCCATAAAAAAGATACACAAAATATATTAAAAGTTATAGCATGAAAACTATTATGATCAACTTCGGGTCACGAACTCAGTTGATTTAAACAAGCCAGTAGCAAGAGGGTTAAACTCAAAAACAATCAAAGTGAAATAAATTTATACGAGGAAAAAGTGGCTATGTTTTATAGTGATCCTCTAATCTCTTATAAAAACGTATTAAGAGGTTTACTAGAAGTTAGTTAATGTTAAAAGTTAAACTTTCAATCTAATAAACACAGCTATGCTCATGTCTGTAAAATCTTATAACACCTGATGCTATTTTTAAATTCCTTTCTATGCATGTCACAAGTGTTATTGAGTTTCATTCAAAATTTAATTAAACTATTTTACTACCAATGTATTTTAATAGCATTAGCATTATCAAGTGCATTATAATTCAAAGTTATATATTATCTAAGTCTTTATTTCTTTATTTCAAAAGAAACCTCTTAAACAATAAGTTTTGTTGTCACTTGACATGCTTGTGGTTCTAAGTATCTAAACTTTAGAGCTGATATAGAAGAAACAAGTGTGTGTAATTTAGACACTTTCATACAGATATTCAAAGTAGAAATATATAGGTTGTTTACCAGTAGTTTGAAACAAATTCAAAGAACTGGCCTTGGATGAAACAGTTGTAAAATTCCCACACTCAAGATAAGCCATGCCCACTTTTTTAGTACAAGTGGTGTTGCTCAGCCACAGTTTTAACTTGAATGGTATGCTTATAACCAATAGAAAGACCATTTTTCCTGTTGGAATGTCACCAAATTAACATTTACAAATGAGGTGAAAAAAAGGTTAGTCCACTGTTGAGAACAAGGTCCCTAACACTTGGCTGTTTTTTCTCCCTTTATACATATTAGTTTTATAGATAGTTAAATTGCATTTAGGTTCTACTTTTATATTTTAGTTAATTAGGTAATATTTGTGTTTTAAAATTCATATTTGAAATGTTTAATGATTTTTAAAGTTTATTCTGTGCCTTGCTTCAATCAACAGGCATTCATAAATAAAGTTAGCAAGTGCAACCACCATTTTGTCTGTGGCTATACTGCCCCTGCTGATGTTAACATTATATCACCCACTGGCACCTATTGATGTGTGTCAACATAAATAAGCAAAGATAAAGAAAATAAAACATTAAAAATAAACTATAGGTGAAAATGTGAAGACATGAAATTAAGCATATGAACCTAGAGAAGATATTTTACGATTATTGAATGAAGAGATAAAAGATATATATTTCCTTCTCTTATGCCTAAACATTTCATTGCACTCTACATTGATGATAATAACTAGAGTTAGTGATGCTGTATAGAAAATAGCAAGTAAAATATAAACATTTACCTTAAAAACCTTTGATAAACATTTAGGAGGTTCTAGAGATTATGCAAGTGAAATGTGAAAACTGTAAGATACAAAATAATATTTTTATGCTTAACTTGAAAATCACCTTGTAGGTGAGCTATTCAGATTCTGAGTGAAAACAATTACATTAACCCTATCATCATGGGTATCCTTTACAGTGCATGACACAAGGTTTTAGTGTCTAACATTCAAAATTTTATTAACTTTTTATAAATTTTTTGTTTTTTATGTTATATCAATTAGAATAGCATAAAATCTTAGCTAATAATCCATATTTTAATAGTATACAAGTTTTAAGTTCTTAATTCTACAAGGCAATATAAAAAAAAATCCTGAATTTCCCTTAGTGTGACACACGTGACACATTTTCTCTAGACATCTTATTTTCTCTATTTTATCCACCACCCCTCCAAAAAATATGTAAATATGTAAATTCCTCACTATAAAATCATCATTGCTCAGAAAAACCATAGTTTTCAATTTTGTTTGGTTACAGAGCTATCAAATAGAAAATCAGACCACACCCACCTATAACATCATCTCTTTCAGAATTTGTTAATAGTTAATATTGAATAATGTTGTGTTCTGAACGGATAAGCACCAATTTCACTTATAATACATGATTCATTCCCGTGGGAAAGTTAATGAATTTGTAATGGCTCTTGTCGCATAGTTAGAAAGCCAGAAAAATTTTGAGAGTTAGAGGAAATTGTCTACTTTTTTCATGTTATTAATCAATATTCTTTGGTGCATTTTTTAATTCAATAAAAATTATTTCGTGCATTACTACCATTAGTATAAAAAAAAAAGCAGGGTTAAGTGTCATCAACAATCAACAGCAAGAAAAAAGAAGACAGAGTAACTACTTTATTTCTTGTTTTTCATGTTTATTCTTTATTTATTACTACAAAAGTAACTAAGATGTAAAAATAGGGATCTTTTTAGGTTTGTTAAGATTAGATTAGGTAAAATAAATAATAATAATAATATAATAAAGATGTTTCATGAGGCACACATGCAAACAGCTTGTGGGTAATGTAATTCAATAGCATAACATTAGCTGCACATTCCCCAAGTGATTTACGACTTATAATGGCACAGATAGTAGTTAGACACAGTTCAAAGGGCAATCAAAAGGGCAATAAAATAATGAAATTTAATTATAAATAGATGTATATTGTTATGAGTTTAAAGCTACTTAGAATTAACAAATGTAGTTTCATGCTACATTTGAAGTCATTCTAGAAAGAAAAAGAGGTAATTTAGATTTATTTAGATTTTCTCTGATGAAATATGAATTGTACAATCATCAAAATGTTTGGAATAAAGTTTTTTCTTGTCATTCACTATTGGTATTAGATGCAAGTATTTCTCCTAGTAGTATTACCACCTACTTTATTAAAGCCCTTGCACAAAGGAACTACATACAATAATCAATAATACTACTAGGAGAAGTTCTAGAACATCAATGAGAGCTTTAATAAAGTAGGTGGTAATTCTACTAGGAGAAGTTCTAGAACACAAAGGAACTACATACAATAATCAATGAGAGCTTTAATAAAGTAGGTGGTAATACTACTAGGAGAAGTTCTAGAACACAAAGGAACTACATACAATAATCAATGAGAGCTTTAATAAAGTAGGTGGTAATACTACTAGGAGAAGTTCTAGAACGCAAAGGAACTACATACAATAATCAACGAGGGCTTTAATATAGTAGGTGGTAATACTACTATGAGAAGTTCTAGAACACAAAGGAACTACATACAATAATCAATGAGAGCTTTAATAAAGTAGGTTGTTATTGTATGTAGTTCCTTTGTGTTCTAGAACTTCTCCTAGTAGTATTACCACCTACTTTATTAAAGCTCTTCATTGACTATTGTATGTAGTTCCCTTGTGTTCTAGAACTTCTCCTAGTAGTATTACCACCTACTTTATTAAAGCTCTCATTGACTATTGTATGTAGTTCCCTTGTGTTCTAGAACTTCTCCTAGTAGTATTACCACCTACTTTATTAAAGCTCTCATTGATTATTGTATGTAGTTCCTTTGTGTTCTAGAACTTCTCCTAGTGGTATATCCACCTACTTTATTAAAGCTCTCACTCATTATTGTATGTAGTTCCTTTGTGTTCTAGAACTTCTCCTAGTGGTATATCCACCTACTTTATTAAAGCTCTCACTGATTATTGTATGTAGTTCCCTTGTGTTCTAGAATTTTTCCTAGTAGTATTACCACCTACTTTATTAAAGCCCTCACTGATTATTGTATGTAGTTCCTTTGTGTTCTAGAACTTCTCCTAGTAGTATTACCACCTACTTTATTAAAGCCCTCTCTGATTATTGTATGTAGTTCTCTTCTGTTCTAGAACTTCTCCTAGTAGTATTACCACTTATTTTCACACAATGTTATGCAACACATTAAGCTCTCTTAATATTTTACAAAAATCATACGTAAACATTATAAAAGCACAAAAGCAAAATTCAAGTAAAAGTTTAAAAAAGACTTATGCACACACTTTTGGTAAGAGTAGTTAAGCTCTTTAGTTTGGATGAAATTAACAATCATTATCTAAAACAGGTGGAGCTAGCTTGGCATTGTGAATTTTTCATTTGTCCCACTTTTGAAAAAAAGTTAATCTAGAACTGTGAAATTATTAGGATAAAATAAGCTATCATCATACATTTGATTACAAGAGCTTAAGCTACACTTATATATTTTGAAATTTGATAAAGAATAAATTTAAGTTATTCATTTCCCACCACTAAGAGTAGGATTAAGCCATTACTGTATATTTGGTAAGTAAAAATAACCTACTGTTATTAGGTAGAACAGGGATGGAAACAGAAAATGAATAAGATACTACAATATAGTTGGTATGAAAGTGATTAATATTTTTACATTGAATAGCATATGTTAAAAATATATTTTCAATTTATAACATCTGCATTTATTGGAACTACTTATAGCAACATACCTCATTGACAGCACACATCCGAGCTATGGAGCCTATATTATTGGTAATTGTCACTAATGTGGCACGAGCTAGGTCTTCTTTACTCGCTGCACCCACCCTATCTTTACTAATCATATTTCCAAAGCTAATGAGAAGAAAAACAATATTACAACTGTTACTTAAGAAATAAGGAGAAATAAGTATTTTTAACTTTACTTACAACTAACAATTACCTTAGTTATCTAAAAATGTATAAAACACAAACAGAAATAAAGTATTTTTTAAATCACACATTGCCTTTATATTTACATGCACTTGATGTCCAAAATAAGAATGAAACAACTTTCAACCAGCTGTGACATATCTTTTTAAGATTCCAGTATATTAAATGTTAATGATGAATCCCTAAATATTAAATATACAGATTTCTGAAAAAATACAACACAGTTGGTAGAAAGTGACTTCATTCTTATTATCTCTTTTAGAAATTGAAAATAACTAGCAAATCTATTAAGATATCTTAAAAATCATCATATTTCACCAGCTTCTGCCTGGCTCTGGTGTTTGTGTATTTTTCTGTAACATTACAAGTACATATTTATGGAGACAGGAAGACATATATATTTGAGCTACAATTACATTACAACAAGTACATATTTGTGGAGACAGGATGACATATGTTGGGGCTACAGTTACATTACAACAAGTACATATTTGTGGATACAGGAAGACATATATTGGAGCTACAGTTACATTACAACAAGTACACATTTATGGAGACAGGAAGACATATATTGAAGATACAGTTACATTACAACAAGTACATATTCGTGTAGACAGGAAGACATACATTGGAGCTACAGTTACATTACAACAAGTACATATTTGTGGAGACAGAAAGACATGTTGGAGCTACAGTTACATTACAACAAGTACATATTTATGGAGACAGGAAGACATATATTGGAGCTACAGTTACATTACAACAAGTACATATTTATGGAGACAGGAAGACATATATTGGAGCTACAGTTACATTACAACAAGTACATATTAGAAGGCAAGTGTGGTACAATTACGAAAAAAGTGACACAGTAAATCAATGAGTAATAAATGAGCAGTTGATAAGTTGATGAGAAGTTTTGAGTATTTAGTGAGTTTATGTGTTCAGTGTCAGGAAAGTTAAATCAATGTTAGAAGTGAGATTTAACACATCTGTCCAGTTACTTGCTTGATTTTTGAGAAATTGTGTAGGTAAACTTATTTGTGCATTACGCATACTTACCATTAGTTTCAGAATTTCTGCTGAAATGTTTATGCACTTACAGCTTTAACAACAAGCAAAAGTAGCCTGTAGCTAAGTTCAGGAATAAATAATTATCATTACTTGGACTGGACTTGGTATTATTTACCCAATAATCGAATACGTTACTAGAGTAAAAACAGAGATTTCCGACTTAAATTCATCTAACAAGCAATAAACAAGGAAGTTTCGGTAAAGCAGTTTCTTCTAGTAAATCCATTCCCATCTTTTCTTTTTAAGTTCTCAAAAGATAAAAAGGCATTTCAAATAAATTGTAACACTAATAAATCTTTAGATTGCACAAAAAAGTAACATCACCATCATTACACAAACATCCCAATAGTTGGCACAAAATTACATTAGCAGCATTTGTACAGTAAGCAGAAAGAAACAAACAAGAACTTACATTTTTTAATCAAAACTTAAGACTTATGGCTGATACCATAGGAATAAGAAAAGTTAGTCCTTCTACTAATTTTACTGAAAATGATGTAATACCTAACCCAGAACTTACACTGGTATGGGGAATAGAGGTTATAACACTTATACAAATACAAAGAAACTGCACTGGCACAGCTTCTTAATCTTTCTTAGAAATTTATTTATTTTTATCTTACATGTAGTATTATTTCCCACTGTACTATTACACATAAGTATTAAAAATAAAAAGTCAACATCTCATGGGTACATTATTTTACTTTACACTAAACATATTTCTAAGCTTAACAATTACATTTCTGACACACAAATAGTTCTTAGAATTTAGAAGCCATTATGGATAATTCTGTAAAATGTTCTTAGAATTCTAATAAGTGGATTTTGTGTATATTTTTCCAAATTGTAAAGATATAAAATATAACATTAATAGTTATGGACTTTTACTTTAATGAATATTTTAGTGCCTTGTTCAGCTGTAGTATTTAAGATCAATGACATCCAAAAGATTAGTGATAATTTCCAAAGAAATGTTTTATAGAATAATAAATAGAGTTTATACCAATGGAATAAAAGGCATAAGAAAAATAAACCAACAAATATACAGTTTTTATTGCACCACACTCGTAATGATGCTTTACTATATAACCACATGCTGGCCAGCTTAGTAACATTTCTGTATGTTGGCCTAAAAAAACACCTTTACTAAACAAAGACAGCAGGATTGTGTAAACATAACACCTTTATTGCATTAAAATCCTCACCTAAATGTGGTGAAATTACTTATGTTGAAGGCCATTCTCATATTTCATCAAAGGGGAGATAATTTCCTTGCTCATACTGACAGATGCAGACTACTGCATCAGCTTTATATCTCAGCACTACCTGAATGTCAAATGAATTAATACTGTAGTCCAAGCAGGCAAGTAAGTGCTCATAAAATGAATGACCAATGTTATGCAACCTAGCCAAGACAGAGGTTAAACAAAGTAGAAATGATTACATCCTGTTTCCAAGGGTGCTGACCAAGTACAAGAAACCTTCATAAAGGTGTTTAAAAAACATTTTATTTTACTACTTACAAAAGACACACACTAAAAAATAGAACTAAATATGGTCTAGATAAGCAACATCTAAACACTAGAAATAATTAAACTTTAACACTATAAGAAAAAATAATTAATATTGATGCAACATTAGAATTCTATGTTAAATATGTCAAATTGTTGATGAAAAATGTTGTCTTTTAATGAAGGTAGCAGTTCTAGGATGAAATAGTATTGGAGAGATAAAAAAACCTAGCCTACATTTAATTTCTTATTGGTTTTCTAAATCACATGTTTACACTGATGTTTTGGCCAAGGTTTTATATAACTTATCCAACAATGCATTTTATGTTTTTGCTTTACAATCACACTTAATAAGGAAATTATACAGGGACTTTGGAAATCATGTCAACAAATGTGTTTACTTGTGTTTAAGAACCTGAAGCCTTGAACATCTACCACAGTATTTATATTAGACAATGAGGATACATGTACACTGCAGTATGCATAAAACATCAGGGTAGAAAAGACACTAGCCCAACAGACATTTCAGCACATTCAAAAATAAATTTTAATAAATTTATAAATACAGTTTTTGACAACATATGTTATAGCATAAAATGTTTAAATTTAAAATTGTGTAGTTTAATCATAAATTCACATTGGGTAGATATGACATCATAAATAATTCACTGAGTTGAATCTTTAATGAAAATAGGGAAGGTCTAGAAAGTTTCAATGTAAGCTTAATTGTGAAAATACACTTCCTGTAATATGTACTAGTAAAGGTCTCTTAAATGATCTATAAGGGAACTACAGTAGTCATGTTTAATTTTGTTACTACTGCCTACAGAAATTCAAATAGAAAGAATATTTAAAAATTTGCATACATTTATAGAAGGAAGTGTATGGCACTCAAAAACATTATCGCATCATATAAAATTTTCACCACTTTTAGATTTAAAAAAATCCAAGTTAACTCAATATGCTTCCTGAACAGGTTTGTTAATAATATTTTTGTTATGCATTTATAACAATATGTCATTTGGTTATAAGGATACTTTTTAGGTAATAATCTAAGATTTACAAAAGTTATAACCAAATTTGTAAGTTTCTAGCACTAATGTTTATTACAAGCATAATTAGCTACAGAATTATTTTTTTTCAGTTTATGGAAAAAATTTTGTGTACATAACAATGCTGGTCTAATCATCTTATTTTTCATATGTTCCATTGTCATAAATCCTGCAAAACTTGCATTAAACTGAAATACTTGTAAAGTTAATGCAGTACAGTAGAAAGTAATTTGACAGTGCAGACATCACCCATGTGTGCACATTAGAACTGGGTGATTTAATCGATTAATTAGCAGCATGTATATCAATTACTGTCACAAAATTAATCAAAATTGGTGTTTCCAATTATTAGTTTTCGACTGTTCCAACAATCGCTTAATTGAAAGTAAAATTAAACTGACTGCTAGGAAAATAATCAATTACTGTCACAAAATTAATCAACTAATCAAAATTGGTGTTTCCAATTATTAGTTTTCGACTGTTCCAACAATCGCTTAATTGAAAGTAAAATTAAACTGACTGCTAGGAAAATAATCAATTACCTATAATATCAATTACTGTCACAAAATTAATCAACTAATCAAAATTGGTGTTTCCAATTATTAGTTTTCGACTGTTCCAACAATCGCTTAATTGAAAGTAAAATTAAACTGACTGCTAGGAAAATAATCAATTACCTATAATTAGATGCTCTGACTATTACTATTATTGATTATTCAAACAATCAATGAAGAGAAATTATGATCAAAGTGAATGTCATGAAAATAATCAAATAACAGAAATTTAGGTTTCCAATTATAACTATTTTAAATTATTTCAACTATCCGACTAATCAAAATATTGCCATTATGTCTATTTGTTGTTAAGGGCAAAACTACAAAATGGGTTATCTGTGCTATGCTCACTTGGAGTATCAAAACCTGATTTAAGCATTATACCATTTTTTACCTCAAATTTGTTCAGCTTTGGGCCAACATGACCTAGCAATTTGGGGAGTGAGGGTAAGGCTCAGGTTTGATTCCAATTACTGTTACATATACCTGGGGTCTGCAAAAGTAATAGTCACAGTTTGTGAGCTATTTTCTTTAATTAAATAATGCTTGGAAGGACACAGAATAATAACATGTAAGAAGCTGAGATTGTTTTATAACTTTCACAATACAGTTTGTGAGCTATTTTCATTAATTAAATAATGCTTGGAAGGACACAGAATAATAACATGTAAGAAGCTGAGATTGTTCTATAACTTTCACAATTTCTCTGACTCTCTAAGTATGTAAGAAAA